ATAATATTTAAAATATAATGTCAAAATCAAAAGGAGATACAGCCAATTAAATTATGCTTGCTTACAGTGTTAAATAATAAATGCCTGAGGGTTAAGATTGTCTCAATAGCAATTTTAAAAGTCCTCATTCTCTAGTTTGATAGTGAAAGTACTTGAATTAGAACTGTCAAAAATACCCGTGACCTTGCTATTCCTTAGAGTAAAAAAATTAACCCTCTATTTATTACATTCATTCTCACAGTCTAATTATTAGACAATCTGTATTACAATCACTTGAAGACATGTTAAAATATATATTCACATCTTAATAGTCCTTTTTACTTTGCTTTACAATATTCAATTGTCAGTGGAATTCCCATTGCTCTTTGGAGAAAATAGGCAGTAGACCATAATTATTTCTCAAACCTTCATGACTTTACCTAATTATCTAATTAGGATCCTTAAGGTCTGAATGCCTAAATTAAGAAAGCTTAGCTTGAGAAAGCAGTTGCAAAATGAAAGACTGTAACAAATTAACCTTAAGGTTGTGCTAACTCACATAGGTGTTTAACCTACAGGTGCTCCAAAAAAATCAGAGACAAATAATTTAAAATGCTCCTCTTTGTCAAAACTCCAGAACAAACATACCTAAATATATCTAACAAACAAAAGGAGGAGGAGAAGCACAAGAATAGCAGTATTATGAAATGACCTTTCTCAAGGTTCCCTAGTAATGCAGTTTTCCCCTTAATGTAGGATATGTCCTATGTACTGCTAGTTTGGTGTGAAAATGTACAATACCTGACAATTTTAGATGATGATTACATCACTGAAGAAACCACTAGAATTCATGACATTTTGCATCACTTTTGACTCTCACATTAAAGTCAATCACAGTTCCATTGGTGCTCTTCCTGGGACTCCTGTTGGTAAGGGCATATTAGTAGCTGCCCGGACTGCTGAACAGCACGATTAACATATCTGGACACTTTCACATTGCATTTTCCTTCTTCTTCAGATGGTTTTGAATATTTTCATTTGATTTGTTTATTGCCACGGCCTTGGATATCTTTTCCTTTAGAATTTAAACATGACTTATTATCCTATAAATATTTTTTGGTTAAATTGAATTCTTAAATGTTCACAACTAAATAAACAAGAAAAACATTTAGTTTCCATATTTTAAATATAAAGCTCTCAGGTTTTTGAGAGAAGCATTTCACAAGGTTATTATTAACAGCTATGGGCTTATGCCTACTACAAACAATCTCTTTTGCTTGTGATGTTTTTCTCTTTAATGATAATTAAGCACCAATAAATCCACAATTTATTAAGATATTATTTCTAAAAGGAGTCTTGTTAAGCTTTAGTTTTCTTGCAACACTAAATCCAACATACATCAAAGTAAAGAACACTCATTTCATGACCACAATAACATGCAGACTATAGTGAATCAACAGCCTCATTCCAGAGTCAGCTCCCCTGTTCTTAGATCTCACCCCAACTCTTACTGATTGTAAGACATTCGATCCCACATATTTCACCTCACATTCCTCATATGCACATGTAGGTTCACCTACACAGAGGCATATCTAACAGTACTCACCTCACTGACTGATATTAACTAATACTCTTTTTGAAGGTCGGGGACAAAGTGGTTCATTCAGAGCTCTGAAACTCAGAATCCTTTTCTTGGGTCTCAATGTAAACATCATCCCTTTAGTTAACATTTTTTTACATAGTGGAAAAAATATCTTGCTTGTATTGTTTCACCATGTCTGTTAAGTGAATCACCTTTTCAGATACTCCAAATGAGGAATTTGGTATTCCGCATAAACACCACCCAGCCTGAAATTTGTTTTGTTTTATTGCGTTTTGTTTCATTTTTGTTTTGTTTTGTTTTGTTTCATTTTTGTTTTGTGAGACAGGGTCTCTTTGTAGCCCCAGCTGGTCTGGAACTCACTATGTAGACCAGACTGGCATCCAAGATTAAAGGTCAACATCACATGCCCAACATGCCCAACAAGACCTTTCTTAAATAACTTGGCATTATTCCTACAATACTAATACTAAACCTAACATAACTTCTTTTTATTATACTTAGCTAATTGAGATGAGGGAAAAGAGTTCATAAATCAGTGGTAGTAGACCCTAGATATTTATGAAAGGTATGAAACAAGAAATATTTACGCACACACATAAAGCATGGGGAGACCTCATCCAGGTAATTCACTGTGGAAAGAATGACTTGTCAGCACTTGATACATGTACATGTGTGCACATTCATTTCCATTAACATGCACTGAGTACATGAGTCAGCAGCCAGAGGGAAGATTTTTTTTTTAGGATAACTCCCATGATCTGTGGCATTAAACCACTCCAACAAATGAAACGCTAGTGAAAGAGTACTCTACTTGAGAAAAAGGCAGGAGTTTAGTAACAGTCAGATGAAATTAAGCTCCTTTCACTGATAATTGGCCTGAATCATTCTAGAAAAGTGAAGAAAGTATTTTTGAATGTGATCAGCTGTTGGATGGGCATTTTAACTAATAGAATTGGGAGGTAGAAGAGGCCTACGGCCACCTGATAAAGGAGTCAGAAAGGAAAAGGCTGTCTCCTAAACACTAGAGGATTTCCATACCATTATCTGTCCCAGTAAGAGACAAGGTTCTACCTGTGCAGCTACCTACAGTGCGATCATATGAGGCAGGATTTTGACCTTGATGCCTCTGAACCAGTTTTACCAAAGTCCAGGCAGCTGTCTGCTTTGTTTCATCCTCACGCCTACTTAATTGTTCTACAGCCTGTTGTGGAAATATATGATTTATTGACTATCCACTCAATTATCATTTTTTAAAATGTGAATTTATTTAATGAGTGCTCTTAGAAATTAGTTTTCCATGGAAAGCATGTGAACTAAAACTCAGCCATTTATGGAGGCATACTGCATACATCAATGGTTCTCTGAATGATTCAAGAAAGTCTCATTACCAATTGAGGCTTGAGAATTAGTGAAAGGAGTAAGAATCAAAAGTCTGTAATTTGTGGGAAGCAGTTGAAAATAACATTATCATGAGTGCTAGGAAGTGCAGACAAGATTCGAATTCTGGCCCCATCAATTGTTAACTGGCAAGCTGCACCTTTCAAATAAAATTCAACAATAACAATTCCTTAAGAGAGTTGCTACAAAATATAGAGAAAAGTTGTTCAATAAATTTATGGAACAAGAACGAATAAAATATTGGCAGGTACAAACCCTGGTAGAATAGGAGCTGAACACATGGCTGCTCTCACCATGCAAACATTTTAACTGATAACATTAATAATACTGATCAGTAAAAGTCTGTGGAGTTGCCAGTAGATTATTTTGAATGCATTTTTATACAACAGTTTACCGATGCTTCTTGATTAATATGGCTGGCCAAAATCTTTGCAGTTAACAAGAAATTGGCAGAAGTTAAAAGGTGATGCTGAATAAGATTTTAAACTGTGATCAGATGTTAGAATATGAGCTAAGAATTGCTGGATAAAATATACAAAAAATTTTAAAAAGTACTTGGACCCTATTATATAATATCAGTAAATTACCTATTGACTGATCTAGTTAAATATAGGCATATTGTTAGTAACAGACAGCAACTACTTAAAACAGTTGCTTCATTAACTGAAATTTTCTTTACAAGTGGTGATACAAATAGTTTACAATTCTTTTTGCTTCCCTGTTCCATGTATGGGTATACTATTAAAAAGAAACACTATAAAGAACACTATAAACTGGGGACACACTCTAAAGATTTAGGGCAAGAAGAAAACAGAATACAAACCCAGCAAATGAAGACTACAGACAACCTGCTTTCTCATCAAGAAAAGGGGCAAGCATAATGACAGTTGTCTTACAAATCTAAGGAGCTGCTACAATGGATAGACTCCCTTCTTGTGACAGAATTTAAAACAAGACTTTCAGGGGTGTTATGCAGGCAAAGCACAAGTCAGAATTTTGAAGAGTCTGAAGCATTTTAAAATTTAAAATTAAAATTTCTTTCTCCTTTGACTACACAGTGAAAATCTATATTCTGAGTCCTAGGAATTATTTGATAAATAGAATATTATCAATATGCAACTTTTATAACTTTGTTATTGTAATATTAGGGGCTGCCAATGTCTTTTTTAATCATCAACTTCATGTTAATATTTTTGAGGAACAAGTGGATTTTTTCAGGAAATGATGTAAAATTTCATTTAAGCTTTATGTGAGATGTTTGGGTATGTTCAAATTACATGTTAAATTTAAATTTAATTTGACACGTTTTGAGCATCAAGTATATGGCTTAAAATATTTGTTACAGCTGGGCATGGTGGCACACGCCTTTAATCTTAGCACTTGGGAGGTAGAGGCAGGCAGATCTTTGTGAGATCAAGGTCAGCCTGGTATAGATAACAAGTTCCAGGCCAGCTGGGGCTCCTTAGAGTCCCTGTCTGAAAAAGACCAAAAAAAATGTTTGCTAAAAGTGCAATTCTGAAAATGTTTTCTTAAAACCTTTGGTCCCCTTGTCGCTTGTATACAAGACCAGTATATCAAATGGCAATGGGCTGCTGACTACAGTGCATTAAGTAGAGTGACCTAGCATCTCTTGGACAATATTCTGGCCTTTAATTTCCCATTGTGTATCACATGTAAAACGATGTGTGAGAGGTAGGAAATATAAAACCAAAAGTATTCCCCAAAGCACACAAATAAGAAACTGTTGGCATATATGAAACTATTGACTATAGCTAAAACTTTGTAATGGTTTAAATTTCAAAAGCAATAATTTTTATTTTTCTAGTCTCATTTATGATAGAAAGTTAAACATAAGATCTGTTTTCCCACTGAAAGCAACAATTAAAGCTGGGTGAAGGATGTCCAGCAACCCTTGGCAGCATTCTAAAGAAACCAATGTGAAGCAGTGATCTTTGAGAATGGAAGAACACAAAAGGCAAGCTGAGTTTTAACCTGGGATTTATTCCTGAATGCACATTACAAAGTACTCTCCTGAGAGTTAGCAAATAGCACAGAGCATCAGCCTGACAGAGTTGAAGAAACAAGGACTGCTGGGAGCCAGCATTGGTGGCAGATGATAGGAGAAGGGAGCTACATAGTAGAAATCAACAATCTGAGCATAATTCAGAGGCCATCAGTACTGAAATAAGATGAATTTTAAATCTAACCAGCATGAATATACTGCAGGGGATAACAGAGTTACATGACAACCAAGGAAGACCAATTCTAGACAAAGAAATCATGTTATTATTGTGAGAGTATTGCTATAAAACTAAAGGAAAAGCTGGGAAAGACCAACCTCAGCACAGCCTAGGTGCAGGCAATCAGGAGTCAGGTGCCCTGCTGTAATGGCATTGCTTGATGGGACAAACCTTGACACTCTAAAGGAACATCAAAAATGTACAACTAAAAAGCTAATACAACGGGGATTAGAAACACCAAGATTATAAAAATAATTTATTGATCCAATAATGAAAAACAAATAATAAAATAGTAGCAATAAGATGGTAGAGCAGGGGCTGGAGAGATGGCTTAGCAGTTAAGAGCACTGACTGTTCTTGAAGAATCCCAGGACTCGAATCCCAGGACCCACATGGTGGCTAATATTCTGTAACTCCAAGTCCTGGGGATCAGACGCCCTCTTCTGACATAGGTTACTTACATATATGCAGGCATAACACTTACACATGCAAACTAAAAATAAGATGTTAGAGCATTAATTTCCATAGTTATACTCAATTTAAATAAATTTGACATTTCAGTTGAAGTACAAACCTTATGTAAATGTTACTGTCAAACAACTGTGCAAAGTCAGCCATTGACTGAAATCTGGAACATGGTCATTTGCATCTTTCCATCATTCTTAGAATGGTAATATACTATGACTAAGTTGTACACATAAGATGGTTTTATGCTGAACACCTGTTTTCCCTTGGAGAGTTTTATGTCTGTCAGACAGAGGCTTTCTATATGATCTCCCTCTGGTACATACCCCGAGTAGCTGCAAGTAGAAGAATAAACTGGACCTGAGTGCTGAGTTTGATTTTTTGTTGTTGCTGTTTTGATGGGGGAGAGGGGAATAGACTCTCTTTAGCCCTAGCTGGACTGCAACTGGCTGTGTAGACCAGGCTGTCCTTGATCTCACAGAGATCCACCTGCCTCTGCCTCCTGAGTGCTGGGATTAAAGGTGTGTGTGACCATGCCTGGCCAGTGCTGAGTTTTAATAAGCTTCACTAGTACATAAAATTTCTCTGCAATAGACTATCCTTTTAAATATACCCAAACATTGAGTTGTGGAGACTTCCTAGTAAAGTACTCCAATTTTAGGGTATTTGAAGATTCTTAGTATATGTAATGATGTTAGGTGGTGTAATGTGAATAAACTGTACATGTAAGATGGTTTTATGCTGAATACCTGTTTTCCTTC